TCCCTCCATTGCCTGAACCCTTGCACTTGCCAGTGACTCAGACCTGCAGAAGCCTTGAATCATCTGAGGGATTTTTGTCTTGGCTCTGGTCCTCAGTGCAGGATGCAGGGCAGTCTGATCTCCCACCCGCCCCAGGGGTTGGAGGGGAGACGGGAAGGAGGCTGAGCTGGGGACAGGTAATCTTACCAAAGGAGCCTCAACTCTCTTAACAAAAGGGGGACAGTCTCCTTTTGTCTGGGGCTCTTGAGGGGCGTGTCTGGGCCTCTACCAGTGGCATGTGGGAGTGGGGGGCGGGAGGGGCTGTGCTGAAGTGTTTCTAATGGAACCTGAGCAATTCTTCTCTGTGTGCACCCACTGGGGGGAGAGACAGAGAGAGATACAGAGACACCGAGGCCTTCCCCTCTCCCTTCCCAAGCATTCAGAATACCCGGACCACTCTTCCAGCACAGCCTCCCCGCTGGGAGCCAGCAGCCCCTGCAGGGAACGGGGTGAAAGGAAAGTGTTGCCTGAAAATCCTCTGTCCACCTTCAAGGTTAAGGCCACAGGCAAGAGAAAGACAATTGACGATTGTTCTCCCTTCTAGTTTCTCCCCTGGGAAGGGCCTACTGCTTCTCCTTCTCCTTAGGAGAGCCTTGAGGGGGCACTTGGGGCTCTGCGTGGGTCCCCAAGGCTTCACTCCTCTGTCGTCCCTCCTTTGCCACTTCTCTGTCAAATCTCTCTGCCACTCCATCGACCTTTGACCACCCTCCCTCCAGGAGTGAATCATGAATCTCAGCCTGTCTCCCTAACTTCTATGAGGATCCTTCCGTCTCATCTCCTGGCTGTGGGACTGCTGCTCCCCCACCCCCATCCCTGACCCGGTTGTACCACCAGATTCAGATTCAGCCCATGCACATCTCTTCACCGGCAATGTGGTCTATGAAATGGAAAATGCCAGGACTCTCCAGGAAGCTCATGTTGGCCATTTTTTGTTCAGTGTCTAATATTTAGTATAAATCAGAATTACCAGAAAAACATCCCTGTGCCAATTACAAACTCACTTGTAGTTTTTATGGCCTCATCTTGACTTTAGAAAGGTTGTTTCCTCAAGGTGGAGAGGCCGGGTTTGGTACCTTATGTCACTAACATCTTTGGCTGATTGGACTGAAGCTGGTTATTAACATGATGTGAATTATTGAACAACCACCCTAAGAGGCCTGTCCCTGGTGGCACCTGCCTGCTGCACTCTCACCTATAACTGTTTCTCTTGGGGGTCAGCCTTGAGCTCACTTCACTTGAAATAGACCATTCAGGGCACAGACTGGGGTCCCAGGTGTTGGGCGGCCCCTCTCCCATTGTCAGGGTTCAGTGCCAGCCCAGGGCTGGCTATTTTGTTTTGGCACACCCCAGGCGCTCTTCCGGGAACCTTTCTGCCGAATATAAAGGCCATAGAGCACAGAGTTTCAGTTGGGGAAGAAAGGGCTCCAATGAGCAGTGACCTTCCCCAGTTATTGCCAGCTGAGGGCTGAGTCTTGCTTGGGGAGAGGGCGGCTGTAGTGATGGGGCTCCCGGCAGAATGAGATCAACGCTCTCCCTGTCTGTGTCCTCATACTCCCTCCTCTGCTTTTCCTTTCATTTCATATCCCGTTCCTTACTGCTTTTGGGAGGCTTAAAGCATGGCTACTCCATAGCTCTAACTGGAGAGACCCCCTGCAGAGGTGGGGCTCCCTCTCCCCAGTGCTCAGCCTCCCTGCCTGCCGGGACCAGAAGCAGGGGCTCCCCTGGTGGGTCTCACCTTTTCTCTGTGACTTGATTTCCTCGAGGCGCCCACTCTTCCTGATAGGGCCCTTTGCTTTGTGTCTTGTGTCTTTTCTTATCTCTCTCCCTTTCATTTGAGTTTCTCATTCTATGCTTTTGTACCTTGTGCTTATAGGGTTTGGGCCCTTTAGTCTGAATTGATTTGGGGACAAGTAAGAAAAGTAATCTTAGATCAACTGAGGAGGGCAGATCTGGAGAAAATGAAGAATTAAACGTCTGGGTGGTGGTAGTGGGCAGTGGTCAGACTCAGGGCCTCTGTTCAGAGGTAGTGTCCATCTTTCCACCTTTGTCACTTCTCCCTGGGGCTGGCTGTTGTGTTTGTGGCTGCTTGTAGAGCTTGTCAGTGGAGTGCTGTGACAGGAGGCTATTTTAATAAACTGTTGCAGTTTCTCAAGCCGAGCTGCGTTGCGTTGGCATCCCTCGTCACCGCTAATGGAGCGTGCGTGGCTGGGTGTGGGCCGAGGAAGGCGGCTGAGCTCTGAGCTCGCTGGGGGCTGGGGGAGAAGGGGAGGAGGCACAGGGTGCCTGCCTCGTCTGGGCGTGCTCCTGCAGCAGCTAGACTTGGGGACCTTTGGGGTAGCTACACCCTAGGCAGCGGGTCCTTGCCCTGGAAGTGCTGCTGGCATGGACACTTTCCGAGCTCTCTTTCTTCCTATTTCTATTCATAGCACTGCAGGCAGGCTCTGTGTATGGCTGGGAGGAAAACTTCCACTCGCCCCTGT